TTAAAGAACTGTTCTTGTTAATTTGATGAAAACATTTTAAATTTCCAGTGAACTCACATCAGAATAACTTTTAGATTTGTTGTTAGAATAATCGATTAATCGAAAAATAATCGTTAGATTAATCGATTAGAGAATAATAGTTTGGTACAGCACTACTTTTTATTAAAACCGCTAAATGAAGTTTGTTGTTTTACCCTCTGTTCAGGCTCATGTGTCACTGCCCGGAGGTCTAGCACTGCACTCCATGCCTGGCAGACAGGTGTCTATGGACACTGGGCAACCTCCCTTCTTCCACCTGCCGCCCCCAGCCCACGTGCCTGTCCCTTCAAGCCCCCAGCCTCCGCCCAGTCCCCACTCCAGCCACACACACAAGGTAGGTGCTACAAACACACACAGGCTCCTTTAATCACTTTGTGATGCTCTTTTAGTTGTATTCTTTGTTTGTTTTTTTTTTCACTTTGTTTGATTCTATTTAACTCTCTTGTTTTGCTTTTATCTTGACTGAATGAACAAATTAATATTTCCACCTCCCCTAACATTTTCAACAACTTTCTACTTTACTTTTTATCGGCAAAACTATGTAGTACTGAGAGAAAACTCAAATTCTAAATAATAGTTTTTGCTTGTTTCTGTTAGTGATGCAGTCATGTTCTATAAACAGCGCTGATCAGCAGCGCAGCTACAGGCTAATGTAATGTCCATCAACTTTTAAAAAATTAACGAGTAGTTTGTGAACTCAAAACACCATAAATCCAGACAGAATGAGCTGCTGTTAGGCTACAAGTCATGCTGGACTCAAACACTGAGCTGAGCTCCTTTCCTCTGTCTCACACACACACACACACACACACACACACACACACACACACACACCGCAGGTCAGTTCAGGAGCATTAACCCATAAGTGCCCAGATTATAATCTGTCTTTAAAATGTGGTAAATAAATTATTCTCAGTAACTAAGAGGAAGTTATTTTGATAGTTGCATTTTTAACTGTTGTCCTTTATATCTACAAGAGTTAGAGTTCTACTAAACTTCTAATAATTATTAGAAAGGACATGATTTGAGGTTTTTACTAATATTTTATTCAAAACATGTTACAGAAGTCATAAGAAGCAGGTTTATTTTGAACAAACGTTACAAACGTGTTCATTTCTACAAAACTGTCAAATATACAGAATACACTAAACTGATTCAAATTAACATGAAATAAATAATGTTTTATAATTAAATGTCTGTTTCCTGCTATAAAGAAAAATCCTCCATCCATTCTGTCCTTGTTCCTAATTAGGGTCAGAGTGGGGCTGGAGTCTGTCCCAACTGCCTTTGGGTGAAGGCAGGGGACACCTGGACAGGTCTCCAGTTCACCAGAGACACCTGGACAGGTCTCCAGTCTCCATCAGGGACACCTGGACAGGTCTTCAGTTCACCAGAGACACCTGGACAGGTCTCCAGTCTCCATCAGGGACACAAAAGAGACAAACAACCATCCACACTCTGAAACCTTCTGGGGCTCTTCTGTGTGACTCTAGATGTGACAAACTGAGAACTTTAGACTCAGATCCATCTAGTGCTGCACAGAGTTCTAATCACTTATTATCAGCAATTATATATTCACAATGTAAATTTATTACTATAATGAAGATGAGTCATGTAAAATTATGCTTTATAAAACAAGTACACCCACTTATTTTTTATTTTTGAATACAAATTTCAAAACAATTTTTTTTGGAGCTGTAATCATAATACCGTCATACTGCGAAACTGTGATATTTTTGCACAAGGTTATCAACCATCATTATTTCATACTGTCCCATGCCTACAGGACTCAAGCTAAAACCAGTCAGGACT